AACAACAACGAAGGAATTCTACATCACATTTAGCTTTTTGTAATTTTTCTGTTAATTTTTCACAATGTCGTATACTTACCAGAATCGATTTGCCATATTTCAAGCGAAGATTAGAAATAAATTTAGGAGAGTGAGCAGTAGGAAAAAAATATGAAAATAAAGAGATAACTGCTGTAAAAAGCATATTTTATTTATTTAAAACAGAAATAAAAAGGATTCAAGCTTTCGTGTTACATTCAGTGACACATCATCAGGAATGACAATAGAAAATCATTCATTCTATTTATGTAGGAAGAAGAAAGAGAAAAGAACAACATCAAACGAACATTTTTTCAATATATAAGAAAAAGAACAGTTCATACAATCAAATAGTCAATGTCGGTAATAACGATCAAACAGAGCCACATGTTCTTCAACACGAAATATTTCCTTTTTTTATTTCACATTGAAAAGAAACATTATGTTAAGAATAAATAGTTAATCAAAACTCATTTTATATTCTACACTAACATTTTCTTTTCATCTATCGATTCTTTACATTAGACTGGTTTTCTTGATAAAAGTTTTAGAAAAATTTTAAAATTGAAGAGTGAAATATGCGAATAACATATAAATTGATTTAAAAAACAAAAGGAAAAAATATATGATTTTGAATTACATTCAACTTTTATTATTAAACACAAATATTTATATTAATTTCAATTGATTTTTATAAAAGTCAAATATATATAAGAGTTCTAATGAATGTTATAGAAATCAACTATTATTTATATTACTCTCATTTGACATTATAAAATTCAAATATTTATATTTCTGCCATTTTTATATTTTAATAATCAAATATCTATAGTAATACTATCAATACTATAAAAATCAAATGGTTATATTAATTTGAATTAATATTTTTAAAAAAATCAAATAGTTATAGGAATTCAAAATGATATTGTATAATTCAAATATTTTTATTAATTTTAATTGATATTATAAAAATCGAATGTCTATATGAATTTCGATTGATATTATAAAAACCAAGTATCTATATTAATTGAAATGAATATAATTAAAATAAAATTTTTATATTAATTCGAATTCATATTATAAAAAATAAAGCATTTACATTAATTTCGATGTATATTTGAGAAATTTAATGGTTATATTAATTTTAGTTGATACTAGAAAAAAAACATATCTCTATATCAGTTCCAGTTTATATTAGAACAATCAAACGTTCATATTAATTCTACTTAACATCTGAAAATCCAACATTTATATCCATTTGAATTGATATTTTAAAAAATGAAATACTTACATTAAATGCTCAAAAATTAGATATTTATATCAATTGGAATTTATATATTAAAAATTAAACATGTATATACTTCTAATCAATATTATAATAGAAATACAATATTTACAATAATTTCAATTGATATTAAGAAAGTTAGATATCTATATTAATTATAATTTGTATTATAAAAATGTAATATTTATATGAATGTAAATGAATATTTCAAAAATAAAATATTTATATCAATTCCAAGGGATATTCTCAAAAGGTAGATGTTTATTTTTGATTTCAATTCATATTTCTAAAATCAAACACTTATAATAATTCAAAAGCATAATATAAAAATAAAATATTTATATTAATTTCAAGTGATATTGTAAGTGACAGGCGTTTATTTTAGATGAAAGTAATGTGAGAAATGATGAAATGTTGATTAGTGAATGTTGATGTCTGTTGTCAATTAATATAATTTTTCTTCCATGTGAAAGTAGTTCATTAAATTTACCTTGACTTAAGCCATATTTAAAAAATAAATCAACATGACAATGACCATCATACAATGGTAAGGTGAGGGGCAAATGGTATTTCTTTTTACATCGACACATGCCGTAAAGACTATTTTCACAAATAGCAGTCATTTGTATAATACGAGTTTCAAGTATGACGCCAATTCAATGAATTGATAAAAAAGAAAAACCAACTGTTATATCGCTTTATTCAAACATACACAACGCGGCTTTATATCCGACAGGTAATAAATTGACGTTCATCATTACTCATCCTTTATCCGTCTCCCAACATTGTCACTATCATAACTACACAATAAATTGACAACTCATCAAAAGTACGTCCACTTCATCCATCTTTCAATTAACACCAACATAAATAATCGCGAAAAATAAATAATTGATAAGTACTCACATCGACAGTGGAAATAGAGCGTTAACTACATTTTAACGTTCAACCATATAAATCAAACCCCTCAATACTCCCTCTCAACCATTTCATTCGTCACACACACAAACGCCTGTCACTTACAATATCACTTGAAATTAATATAGATATTTTATTTTATATTATTATTTTGAATTATTATAAGTGTTTGATTTTAGAAATATGAATTGAAATCAAAAATAAACATTTAACTTTTGAGAATATCCCTTGGAATGGATATAAATATTTTATTTTTGAAGTATTCCTTTACATTCATATAAATATTACATTTTTATAATATAAATTATAATTAATATAGATATTTAATTTATTCGATTAATATTCGTTTTTTCAACTCTATTTTTCTTGTCCTTTACATAGCTCCTTTCAACGTATATCATATAACTTCGTCAAATAATAATATTACACCTATATGGACACACATAGTTTCATATATTAATACATATATTCTAATAATTTGTTGTTTACTTATTTTCTTGATCCTACTCATATATTTATACACATAGTCTTATTATTTATTCAAGATTTAGATTCTACATAATTCAATTGTCTTCCTGATCTTACGCCTTTATTTAGACATATTTTCATTTAATTCTCTCATTATTTAATTTCTAGATCTTACACCTATATTTAGACATATTTTCATATAATTCTTTCACTATTTACTTCCTTGACCTTACACCCATAGTTAGACATGTTTTCATATAATTCTCTCACTATTTAATCTCTTGATCTGACTCATATATTTATGCACATAGTCTCATTGCTAATTCAATAATAACTATCAATGTCGTATTCATATACCTATACATACTATAATTTATTTAACATGGATCATTATGATCTTACTCATATATTGGTTTATTTATTACAATTTATTTTATGTTTATTATCTATGTCTTACTCATATATTATACACATATTCGTATTATCTATTTGATTTCTATCATCATGGTTTTCCTCACATATTCATACATTGATTATTATAAATTACTGCATATTTATTATCTTAGTCTCACTTGTATATTTACACATACATTCGTATAATTCACTCAATATTTAGCATCAAATAAAAAAAGAAAAAGATTTTACTCTTATACTTTTAGACATATTCTTATTATCTATTTAGGATTTATCATCTTAATCTTACTTATATAATTATACATACTATAATTCACTGAACATATATCATCTGGGTCTGACTTATATATTTACACACATATTATACATGTTTATTCAACACTTATTATCGATGCCTTACTTTTTATGTTTATACATACTTTAACTTATTTAATATTTATCACTTGGATCTTACTCGCATATTTATACACACATTACTATAATTTAATTAAAATTTACCTTTTGATTCGATACATATTCTTATGATGTGTTTAACATATACTTTCTTCATCTTACACCTACATTTGTACTCATAACACGTTACAATGTTGACTGGCTTAATATTGATCTTCCCTATCCTCAAATCATGTCAATTAAATCAATATTTAATCGAAGAATCCAATCAAACAACTACAACACATACTTGAACAATCATTTCCTTTCATTTATACTATCAATTCATCTCAAACATACTCACATACAATGTAACATTAACATTTCACATTTATTGTAATCTCTTCATTAGGATCTTTCATAATGTTTCCTGGTGATGTGTCACTGAATGTAACACGAAAGCTTGAATCCTTTTTATTTCTGTTTGAAATAAATAAAACATGCTTTTTGCAGCAGTAATCTCTTCATTTTCATATTTTTTTCCTACTGCTCACTCTTCTAAATTTATACGCAAAGATGATGTATAGACAAATTGCAGAGCTTTATATTCTCTATCAAACCATATGTAGAACATGTATTTGCCACTTTATGGATACTATAAAAGCACGATTCAATGTCGTTGAAATACGAAAATCGATTGCCTTTTTCAGGATGTTAAGCAGCGAATACAGCAATAGAGTCCTTCTTTGAGATTCGTTCAATACCTATGAAATAGAGTAAGGAATTATCTATCAATTCATATATTAATAGTAAAGACTCTCTTGAGAGGGCTGGTGTAGGTATAAATTAAGATACGATGAACAAGCACCTGCACCCATACCTACACCCAGTCACACCGACACCCACACCCACACCCACACCCACACTCACACCCACACCCACTCATACACTCACACCCACACCCACACCCAGAATTCGATGGAACTTATTTCGGAGAGAGAACTGGTTCCGCAATGCTCAATATCGCGAAATAGGATGTATTCTCCTTGTTAGTAAGGATATTTTTTATGATGAAGAAAAACTGATTCTCATATTATAATCTACAAAGTAATTGTGACCACGTAATCAATGCATATGCACGAGTCTGTCTTGTGAAAATTTGTGATAAAAAAACAATTTTAAAGTTTTCGAATTTTAAATCGTTGAATACGATGATTGTTTGAATCAGCAACATAAAGGTTGCCTTCATGATCGAATGCCAAACCTTCAGGACAGGTTAGTTGCTGTGCACTATTTCCTGGAAGAAAACAATCGCCAGCGATAATATCGGGTTGTTTGTCTTTGCGCCAGCGCATTACTCGGTGGTTCCAATAGTCGGCTACGTAAATTGTACCTAGTTGATCGATCAGTACTCCGGCAGGATAATCCAATTGTGTTCGATCTTTTCCTTTTCCATTACCACCAGCGACAATAATGCCTTCTTTCGCATTTTTCTTCCATTTCATGACGCGATTATTCCAGGAATCCGATACATAGACGGAGTAATCATCTCCAATACAAATATATGTCGGACGATTGAGTTGTGTAAGACGGCAACCTTGTCCGTTGCCACCAGCTACTACTTTTCCATAGTTTTCACGTATCCGATACAGTGTCACTTCGTGCCGTTCGGTATCAGAAAGGTAAAGATCTCCATTAACATCAGTTGCCAATCCAAAACATGCAATATTCTCTATGAGAGTTCTCGCATATCTTGCACTTCTAGGAAACCATTGTAATACGCGTCGATTGTGACGATCGCTGATGATAAAACTCTTCGTTTTTCGGTGGAACATTATATTTGACGGCTTCGCCAATAGATCTGGTCCATATCCTTGTATATTTTTACCGGCTATTCTTTGAATTATTCCAGTATTTAAATTATATTTCATAATACGATGATTTGAGCTATCAGCAATTAAAAGTGATTGGTTTTTAGATATTGAGATACCCTGTGGAGAATGAAGTCTGTCCATTGTAGAGCCGGGGCCACAATCACCAACTACAGTGTGAGCATTGGATTTCCATACAGCATTTAATGGAATAACTGGTAAAGCTGTAATGAGAAAGTAGTAGAGGATTATCAACTACTTAAAGCAAATTTTTATGGAAAGCATGATTGCCAGTAGAAAAAAACTTATCATTCAATCAAACTTTGATTCATAAACCTACTGTTAAAAGAACATATTGCTAAACAAAAATATTTTCGTAGACGTAAATACAGACATTCTTCTTAATTTGATTAGTGAATACTGCTTACGAAATTAATCAGTTTCGTGAAGACCTTTACCATCATCCTCAAAATAAAAACGTTTCAATGTTAACCTATACGTACAGCTGGCTACTAAATTTAGGTAAATCAGTTCATCTTCTGGTAGTTCATTTGTAGAAAATGGTTGTAATCGTCGATGCCTTTTCCGATAAACATTTTCTGCTATGTCATGAAAAACTTCATCAACAGACAAATTTTTCTTTTCAATATGCAGCAGTAGATATTTGTTGAACAAATCATCTTTCGATGCTTTATTGAGTGCGCATGAAAACTGGATGAATACTTTACTTCCATCAGGTACATTCATTCTATGCAAACCTCTATTGTGGACAGCAGCTAAACAAATGCATACATATTTTCGAGACAGTTGTATCAATGATAGAACTTACCAGTTGTTGTCGATCCTCTGCTAAGTATATATGGTCTGCAGCAATCTAATATCAGTATTAATACACACTCTGGCTTGTTTTCGATCAATCTGTTGAGTACTCGTTTCAGATGCACACCAAACACTTCAACATCTTGATCACTATCTATTGTTGTATCATTAGTAGGTATGAGATAGTTGTTTCCATCGACTTGCAGAGCATGACCCGAGAAATAGCACAAGACAATATCACCATTCCGAAACGTCTTTGTGAAGGCTATCACTTGTCCCATGATGTCATCTTCTTGAGCAAGATTCTTGTGTTTAGTAACAGTGAAGTTAATTTTGTGAAGTATATCAACTAGTCTTCTTGCATTGTTGTTTGAATCAGTGAGTCGATTTTCAGGTCGAGAATAGTTCTCATTTCTGATGATCAAAGCATGTTTTTGAATATTGGCAGGTAGACCTAGAAACATCATTCATAGGTGCGATGAGACGTCATACCTTGAACTATAGTTTTTTTTCATTTTGTTTTTACCAACATGAAATTGATTGGACATTATGCACCCTGAAGAATTTTCGATCAAACACTCTTTTTTTTTCACTTTCCAAAAACCTTTTAATCACTGTTGTGTTGATCATACAAATCATGTTTCGAGAATTGAAAGAGAAGGGATAAATATACTTGCTGTTTTTCTCTTTAAGCATAGCTTCAATCGCCTTCAAAAAAATGTTCTCTCGGAATTCTTTGCTCGTATGGATTGAGCCACTGGCAAAATTAATCAACGTGTATAGAGTTTCTCATTTATAGTGGCATTTTATTCTAGATTGCTCTCAATGAAAGAAGAAGCAATTTATCGCATCTTATCGACCAGCTCTGTCTCGTTATGTTATAGTTACATCTGTGCGAAAAAACGGTCTAATGCATGTACTTTGTTCTGTATAGATTAAAAGAGATATGCAGAACTGCTAGTGGCTTTATATTTAATGCTCACACAACTTGAATTGCTTTCTATACGTACGTCTCTCCGTTTCTGCTTGATTGAGATAAACCGAATTATCATCTGGTAGTCCGTCTTCAAAGAAAGGTCGTTGTCTTCGACGTCTCTGATGGTAGACATCTGCTGTTATGTCTCGAAAAAGATCACTAACATAAACATTTTGTCGATCAATATTCCGTAGTAGATGTTTGATAAACAAATCATCGTCGGTTGTTTCGTCAACAGAGCAAGCGAACTGGATGAATGCGCCAGGATGTCTTGCCATTTTAACTAGACCATTTCCCCTCACCGTTACTACAGATATGAGAACACTTATTCAATAGAGCGATTAACAGTATTAGTTACTTACAATTTGGTGTTGATTTACTTTTTAGTTCGTACGACCTACAGCAATCCAAAATAAATACGGTGGCATCTGGCTGTTTCTCTGCCACTAATCGTTCGAGTATTCGTCCGGCATCATTAGCGTTATCTTGAAACTCAATATCCATTTCATTTTCATCATCTCCAACAGGTAGCAGATAATTTGTGCCATCGACATGGCAGCTGAAACCGAAAAAGTAAAAAAATATCAAGTCGCTCCTTTGAATATCTTCTTGAAAATGTTGTATTGTCTCCATAATATAGTTCTTGACATTCATCTTCATCGTAACTGCAAATTGAATACTCCTAAGGTGAGAGTACAGGTTTTCAGCATTATTTTTGAGATGATTCAGTGGCCGATCGAACCGTTTATATTCGTAGTTACAAATGATTAGCGCTCGCTTTCGATGATTAGATGCGTGTCGAATGAAAGTTGCCATATAGAGTTTTGATCTGAAATATCACATAAAATCTTCTTGATTTGTCAAAGCTTACAAAAGGACACGAAGCTGAAAAATGTTAACTTCTTTTATTAGTGATGAAATTCAAGTTTTTTCACCTGGAATTCAAAGGGTAATTTTTCGACCAGGGACTAGATACAGTCCCGGACAAAAGTTTAAGTGAAATTAGTTTTTCACTATTTTTTTTACATT